TAAGGTAATATTAGCCTTTACGAAATACTTTGCATGCATCTCAAATTTAAGATTCTACTTTTGTAGGTATAGCTGGCAATGGGGCGGGTTGGACGAATTTTGGGCCGGTTAATATTGGGTTTTCACTTAAATGGATTATACCCAACCCGTCCAACTTTAAATTGGGTTAATTTTGGGTTGGGTCATATTGGGTTATCTCAAACCCATTACCCAAATATGACCCAACATATTAATTAATACATTTGAATACATAAACTTTTTCACATACATTCTAACACACAAAAAAGATTTTTTTCACACATATAAACACATTTTCACATGCATAAATGTATTTTCACACACACAAACACACACTCACTTCTTAAGTTCTTTGGAAACATATCATAAATAGAATAATATTTTATATTGCTTGTATTGTGAATTTTAGATAATAAATTGTACATTTAACGAAGAGCATAGCGCCCCCCCAATTGATCCACTATCAATTTTTGTGTCCCTTAAAAAACTTTGATTTGTGCCGTGCATCTACTCTTAATATATAAGACATGTTATATAGGGAATTTAACATGTGAATAATCACAATTACAATTATTACACTCAAAAGTAATAAATTATTTTTACTTGGAAATAAAAGCATACCTATAAAAATAAGAACAAGTCTCGCATAAATTAAAAAGAAAGGAGAAAGATACTCATTATTGGTGCAATAAAAGATGCTTGCTAATTATAGAGAAACAGAGAAGTAACAACAAGCTGCTATACCTATACTACTGTCTCTGTACATCCGAAACCATGGTCACTAGAATATTCATAAGGAAAATAAACTCAGACCATATTTTTCATCCAACATCTTTTCTACTGCTCGTGAAAATAGATCAGTTAAAACTTCTCAACTCACACTTGCACATCTGTAACTTTTCCTAACGTCTTTCTTCGCTCTTCATTTTTAGCTAATTTCTGTTCCATAAGAAATTTCTGCCGCTGCTTAATAATACCGTCAATCATCCGATTGAAATCTTCGCTCCTCAATTTATATTTGGCATAATAAATTATTATAGAAGCTGAACAAGTTTAACTACTGTTATAAAAATAAAATAAGCATGAGTTTTTATTTAAAATTTCTTTTTTCTTTTAAATAAAAATTAAAAAAATTGATTGAAAATATATATATATATATATATATATATATATATATATGAGAATTTTGAATACAAATTAATCAATGAATTATTAACACATGTCCAACTACAAATAGTTGGGCATATGTGTATTGAATATTGTATTTATTATTTTCAATTATTTTTAAACAAATTGGGTATTGGGTACCCAAATAAAAAATCCAATCCGCCCAATGAATAAGTTGGATTGTTCTTACCCAATCTAACAAAACCCATAATTCAATTGACCCAACCCATCCTTTAAAATTAATGAGCGGATTGGACGGGTTGTTGGGTTTTGGGCTTTTTTGCCAACTCTACTTGTAGGTTCTGTCTTATAAAAAGTTACATATTGATAATGGAAAGAACGCTTGGTTCTTTCCACCTCAAAACTAACTCAAAAGGAGTGAGATCTTTTTCTTACATTGTAATCGAACATCGGATCATTTTTTACAATTAATGTGAGATAAATCTAACAAATATGCTAGAAAACTCTATGGCCTATGCTAAGCAAGACAAAAGGGAAAGCTATGCTAGGCCATGTTCACAAAAGGAAAGCTAAATGAGCCCTCTATGCTAATTAGCTAAATAGAAACTTCTTTTGTTTTTTTTTTCTGTACTCTTATATCAATACAAAATTATTAAAAAAAAGGGTATTGAAGTCGGCTATTTCCTTTCCTTCTCTTTAGTTTAATTTAATCGAGCTGGTGATCTCCGTCTCATCTCGAACAGCTAGGATGTTTATTATTACTTTTTTATCCTCCAAATGCTGGGTCCTTGATGAGCATGAAAAAAAAAATGTGTGGTGTGTTAGATTAATTATTAATTATTTGGTGCCCTTCGTGATTGTGAACCGAGTAGGTAACGCCTCTCGTTCATTGCTCCTTCCGATTCACCTTGATAGTCATGCTTTTTTTTCTTACACACTTAAAGTAAATTTTGTTAACTTTATTAAAAAATTAAATTTAGACCAATATTTTTCTAAAATATCCTTACATTAAAAATAAAAAAAATAAACGCAGCCGAATAATGGATTATAGCTGTCCAAGAATGAGACAGATTATCTACTCGATTAAACTAAATTTTTCTTTCCATTGATCAAGGATTTAGCATTTTGATGGAAATAAAAATTTTAAAAAATAAACGCGATCAGGTAGTGGATCATAGTTGTCGAAGAATGAGACGGATTACCTACTCGATTAAATTAAACTAAGGAGACGAAGAAGAAATAGTGACTTGATTATTTTCTTTTTATTTTTTGGTTCATTATTAGAGTATAGTAAAATCTCTATAAAGTAATACTTGATAAATTAATAATCTTTATCAAATAATAAATGTTCTGATCCTGGCTTAGGCAAACGAGTTAAATTAATAATTTCGATAAAGAATCAGATAGTAATTTTCTTTTGAAAAACTTACATAACTCTTTGGTCCCATACGTAACATAAATAAATAATTTACGAAAATTATATATCATATTTTCCTAAAATATGAGTCCACTGTTGTTTGTTTTTTCTTAAAATTTAAATCTACCTAAATCTCATCCCTCATTTTTCTCGCTCAGCATAGAGTGCTCCATTAGTTTTCTCTTTTTGTCTGGCAGAGTGCTCCTGCCTATCGCCAGGGCTCTACCTATCACCGTTACGCGAAAGCAGCCAATAAAACTGTGAGAATTTGAGCACTCTCAAGCAGTGTTTCAAAGGCGTTTTCGGCTTTTTGATACTTCATGATTTTAATTTTGAAGGAAACATATGTTTTAGGTTCAAACAATTGAGCATTAGCCTTATACATTGATTGCACTTTTTATACCCGTCGATATAGGTTTTTTCTTTTAATACTACTGTGACGTGACCAAGCCGTCCAAAGCAGAGATAAAAGAATAGTACAAAATGCTTGTCCTGCGCTATAATTTATTTTCACAGACCAAGAAGATGAAAATCAAGTTCTACCTAACACTTAAAATAATATTGATTAAATAAAAAAGCAAGAAATTTCAGTTGTAGCAGCATCCTAGAAAATTAATTTCCTACTAGTTGCTTAAAAATTCCTTGTTTGACACTTGACACGTTTCTCCATCGAAGAAAGGTAAAAATATGTTTCAGGCGTTTATTAGTGCCACTATCCAAGCTGCCTGGGGACGGCTTTATCTCTTGCCTGCACTGATGGAATTGTTATTAATTTATTTATTTTTTGGGGAGTAATAAAATTATTATTACTGTAATTTACTGCTTCAGTAATCAAACGCAGAGACAGTATAATTTTCTCTTCCTAATAAAAAGTAAAAACTTCCTGGTTTGACATATTAACTCTCCACAATCTGCAGGCGACAAGGACTGCTACCTCCAAGGAAATAAAATAAGGTTGAGGCTCTTATTAGTGCCATTATCCAGGCTGCCTGGGGACGGCTTTATCTCTTGCCACGGATATGGTTTGGTAGGGCGGATTTACGCTGGGCCGCTGGGGGCACGGCTACATTGCTCTTAAATTTCTATAAAAAAATTGATATAATTTCAAATGTGCCTCCCGAAGTTTTGTGTATCTATTGATTTATATGCTCTTAAAGTTATCTTTGATTTTACCTGTTATTACAGCTACGATAGAAAAGATTTTTCAATTATGAACATAACGAAGAATTCGTTACGAAATAGAATGGAAGACACTTGGATGAATGATTGTTTAGTTACTTATATAGAGAAAAATATATTTCGTGAAATTCAAAATGAAAAAATTGTAAACCGTTATCAAAATATGAAAACTCGTCATGAGCAATTGTAAATGGTTTAGTTTGCTTTTTGAAATAAAATTATTATCACATTAATAATTTTGAGTTTGTCTTTTTATGTTTTTCATGGAATATATGCATCATTTGTACTTGTTTGTGAATTTTTTTTCCTTAAAAAAACTAGAAAAAGAGTAGGTAAAAAATTTTTGAGTTACTTTTGTCTCCAATGAAAATTTTTTCTGGCTCCGCCACTAAAGTAAAATGAGTTTCATATGCTAACATTATCATATTTTACTGCTTCATTTATCAAAGTACTTTGCTTAATTTTTTTTTGTGTAACGATAAATCTAATCTAGTCTAAACTACTCATATTCCTACTCTAGCCTACTGGGAGTTTGCCCAATTGACCCGAGAGAACCAACGGGGATTGAACCACTATCGGACCAGACATGTACACCACACACTCGTATAGATTTAAAAAAAATCACATACATAGTGACACATTGATGGGAGGTAAGGTTTGAATCCTTGACCTCCCACCCCATAATTTATGTGATGGAGGAAGTTGGTTAAGTACTTTGCTTAATGTGTTCAGCATTTCAAGGCGAAAGATTCAATCATTGTTTGAATTCGAGCCGGCTTTAACTAAGCTCAAGCAAGTCGAATAACTTGACCAATTTGAACTCATTTATATGTGTTCGTGTGCGCGTGAAGCTCGCATGCTTATCTTAGCACAGCAAAGCATATTTATATCGAATAGATTTAGGTATTGTAAACTTTAAACGTATGGACACTGATAAAAAGAAAATTAAATAAATGCATGTTGACATTGTAAATTCATTGTTTGTTATCAATACTTCTATGTATAAATCTATATTTACTCAAAGAAGACAGCCACAGCAGGCTTTCTTGTTTCATTACTATTACTACTTTGATTATTGAGTCTTCCACAAATTTTCATCTGCTTCCTACAGTTTTCTGTTCCATCTTTGTTAGTCAATTGCATCACCTGCCTGTACTCTTGGTTCAAAAAAGTCCTTCATATATTGTTGTCTGATCAAGTACAAAAAGGCTTCCTAGTTTTTACACTGATATCAAGACTAGCGTAGAAGACATTGGATATGGCAGAAGCCGCTGTTTCTCTGGTGATTGACAAGCTGGGCAATCTCTTGATTCAGCAAACCGTTCAGCAGATCGTATTCCTCAAAAATGTTCCTGAACAAATTCAAAGCCTGAAAACATTGCTGATCGACATTCAGTGCTTCTTGAAGTTTGCAGATGAACAACAAGATGACAACCTAATGATCCGCAACTGGGTGTCTAAACTTAGAGATGCAGCGTATGAATCTGAAGATGTCATTGAGACGTTTATTGTTAAGATGCAGGCCTTAAAGAAGAAGGGCTTCTGGGAAAATTTGTCTTGCTTTCCCAAACGGTTATTATGTCTCTACAAGGTGGGGAAGAACATTGAATCCATCCAGAAAAAGATGCTCGATATTGAGAAAAGTCGCCTGACTTTTGGTATTGATCAAGTTCTTGGAGAAGGGACGAGCACAAGAGGAGAGGAGCTGCGGAAATTGCTGAGATCCTCACCTTTCACCGAGGACAAGGATTTGGTGGGCCTGGAGGAAAAAACAAATTCGCTGGTTGCACAACTTCTGGTGCAGGACAGCAGCGGCCGAGTAATATCAATTGTTGGAATGGCAGGAGTTGGCAAAACAACTCTTGCCAGAAAAGTTTACAATCATGTTGACGTGATTGGATATTTTAATTGCCGTGCCTGGGTTTATGTTTCTCAAAAGTGCAGTGCCCAGGAAGTACTGGTGGGAATCATAAAGCAAGTCGAAAAACAAACCAAGGAGTCACTTGACTTGTTGGAAGGAATGCAAGAGGCAGATCTGGAGAGGATGGTTCGGGAGAAACTTCAAGACAAATGTTACCTTGTAGTTCTTGACGATATCTGGGAAGAAGAAGCTTGGGATTCTCTGGCAGCAGCATTTCCTAATGTAAATAATGGCAGCAGACTTCTAATGACTAGTCGCTATGAGAAGGTTCCTCCGTATGCGGATGCTCTAAGCAAACCTTATAAGTTGGAAACCTTGGGAGAGGAAGATGGCTGGCAATTGTTTCTCAAGAAGGCACTTGCTCATGGTTTGACATCAGAATCCAAGTTGCCCCCAGACCTAGAAGCCATCGGAAGAAAAATCGTTGAAAGATGTGATGGTCTTCCTCTGGCGATTACCGTCATAGGACGCCTATTACAAGGAAAGAGTGAATGGAAAAGCGTGCTGGACACTCTCACCGACCAGTGGTCAAGGGGCCGGAAAGGAGTTTCAGCTGTTTTGGCATCAAGCTACAACGACCTTCCATCTTATCTCAAGACTTGTTTTTTGTCCTTTGCTATCTTTCCAGAAGACTTTGTCATCCCAACACGTAAGTTGTTCCATATGTGGATCGCTGAGGGCTTAATTCATCAAAAAGGAGTAGAAGTATTGGAGGATGTAGCAGCAGATCGTTTGGATGAGTTGGTGTACAGGAACTTGGTCCAGGTGGTGGCATTGACTGCTAATGGGAAGGTCAAAAGTTGTCGAGTCCATGATCTATTGCGTGATTTAGCTGTTGCAAAAGCAGAGGAGGTAATGTTTCTTAAAATCTTTGGAGAAAGTAGTAGTAGTTTTCCCCCATCTAAATGCCGGCATCTTCTTGTTAATTCTTGCTCTGAAATGCTAAACTATCCTGGAGAATTTGAGCACTCAACCCCTCCTCTCCGCTCCTTGATCTTCTTCAATGTTGCTGAAGTTAAACATGAATTTAATTTGAGTTTTGCAAGGTTCAAACTACTTAGAGTGCTTGACCTGCAAAATATGAATACCTCGTATTTACCTGAAGAAATTGGTGAACTTTGTCTTCTAATGTATCTTTGTTTAAGACGCACGAGGATCAAAAGGCTTCCACTCTCTCTAGGTTGCTTGCAAAATCTGCAAACGCTTGACATATATATTGTTGGCTCAGTCGTGGAGGTCCCCAATGTGTTATGGAAGCTTAAAAATCTCCGGCATTTATATATTCGTGAAACAATTAAACATGTACCACTGAAGTTTGATACTTTGAAGAATCTCCAAACTCTGTGTGATGTATATCTAGATACTCTGATTGGTAACAAAATGATGCTGTTAACCAGCATGAGGAAATTGGGGGTGTGGATAGAAAGAAGCTCGAGAATTGATGAACTTTTTAGTTCAATTGCTGAGCTTGAGAACCTTGTCCACCTGGAATTGGTCAGGTATGGCGAAGAGGGGTTTCCATCTTTGATTGGTCTTTCCCACCTCAATTATGTCAATCGGCTAAGGTTATCTGGCTGGTTGACTGAGCTACCTAGCCCTCATAATTTTCCCCCAAGACTCTCTCATTTGTCTTTGCTTGGCACAAAACTTGCAGAAGACCCCATGCCAACACTGGAGAAGTTAGAACACCTTTCCATTCTGAAACTGAAAAATGCCTACGCGGGAAAAGAACTAGTTATTTCAGATAACCAGTTTCCCAATCTCACAGTCCTTCAGCTTGAGCACCTGCCTAATTTGATTGAGATCAAAATCGGAAGAGGGGCAATGCCACAGCTCAGGTGCTTGCGAATCAGCAACTGCTACTTTGTAGAAATGCTTCCTGAAGAGCTGCGGTTCATGGAAGCTCTTGAAAAGGTGGAGGTAGAGGACATGCCAAAAAGATTCATCACTAGGCTTCATGGAATGGATTCATACAAGGTCAGTCATGTCCCAAACATTATCGTGACCGGCACTCTTGACCCTACAATGTTGGGAGGGAAGCTCAAGGCTCGAAGGTTCGCAGACGTGTTAAAAAGAAGAGGCAAGAGAACTTGATAGCTGTGTCAAAATTTCCAAGTGAACTTCGCGTTTATTTTTTTTTTGTTCAATAAAAATCAATGCATATGTAGATATATACTCTGTATTTCTCTGAATATTTCTACTGCTACTTTTGTAACTAGTTATTGTTATTTATTGCTTCTAAGCTAGCGATGTTATGGTGATAAAGGAGGAGTTAGTAGTACTTTTTGTTCCTTAGTTTTCGTTTTTTGAGTTCAATTAGTTAAATTAGTCAAGTTCTTGGCTTCTCGTTGGATTATAAATATTAATTAGCTGACAATGAATATGATGATGGAGATAATGCGGTTGGCTTCTTAAATATGAGACTTGATACCTTTTGGTTTTTAATTGTTCTTTTATTGGGTTGGAAAAGAAAGAAATCTTGGGATTTTTGATATCTCAAGTTGACCATGATAATCATAGTAATAGTAATATTGAAGTTGTTGGGGCAAAGGAAAGACTCTGGTCAATTTCTTTGGGCTGGTAAGTCCATTGAATCATCATTTTATACCAAATCATGAATTAAAAAGCTTTTGTGTGTGGACATCCAAACAAAGGCCTTCAATTAAGGTTTGGTGTGGTAAACTTTCTCATAGTACAGTTCCATGTGAAATGATGTGTTACTCTATGAAGCTTTACCAATTTTTCTAATTGGAAATTCTTGATTTAGGAATCTTCGTATATTTACAAGTGATGAATGTGGCTTTGCTCCTACCATTATGCTTTTCAATGTAAGATTTTTTTAGTTGGTGTCGTTTACTGGTACTAAGTGTAGAAATAAAAGGTTTAAATTATTTTTCCGAACTAATCTGCGCTACGTATTCCATTATTTTTACTTATATCAACATATAACGTCTTCATAATTCTTGATTTTGAGGATCACAAGTTTTGAGAAATGGTCCATTTTCTATTAATAGGAATCAGTCAAATGATTGGCTTATTCTTGCTCCTATGTTTCAATCATTTTTTTTTTCTTTTTTAAGTAGAAGTTTCAACTCAGGTCGATTTGCTAGAAAAAAACACTTAGGTTAATTTAAGTATGGTTATGAATGAAAAAGCTCCTGGTACAAGTAGCAAACATTTTTATGTGTCGTATGGCAATTTATTTTTGAGTGAGTATATTTTATATACTATCAGTGTATATTTTTTTTTATAATAGTAGGTTTAGATTATACTACATAATATGAATTCAAATTTAAAATTCAAATTATGCATATATGGTAAATATCCATGTCTGTTAGTGCAAAAAAATCACTATACTGTCGATACATAAAAAGTTAATCCTTTATTTTTTTTTTCGCTTCATATCACTTTTCTAGTAGTTGGAGAATAAATGATCTAAGTTACAGGATTACATGTAATTTTGCTCAATGATAGATCATACGCATTTTTTGTGTTCTTCGGAATTTTTACACAATTTTCCTACATTATCTCACTACATTGGATCAATGGCGAAAGTAAAAAATCAGTTTTTTTTTTGTGAGTAATTATAATTTCTTACAAAAAGTTGAAGTCTTTTTTTTTGGCGAAGGGTTATAATTTTTCAGAGTGTCCAAGCCATGACAACAGCAAATATTGTGCGAGAAAGAATATTGAAGTTCTCACGATTCACAAAAGCATATTGGTAATGTGTGGAGAAGGCAAATACTTAATTTTCATATTGCGAAACAATTAAATGTTTGTGTAAACAAGTTTACAAAAGAAAAGGTGTGTAACTGGATTTGAAGTTATGTAGAATCTTATAAAAAACTAAGCATGAGTTGCATGTGAAATTTTCATGTCGTGAAATTCTTGAGTATTTGAGTGTATTAAGTACAAAATTCTTTGTTCTTTATCCAATGTCCGAAATCTTTCCATATATAACACATGTGGCATGGGTTTAGTGTTAAAATCTTTTGTCATCTTTTTTTTTTTCTTTCAATTTTACCTTTATAAAAGTAAAGATTTACTAAAGTTAACTGCTAAAATTCAGTAACTTCTAATAACTTTCTTATTTTAACTTCCAATAACCTTTTCTGTGGTTTACAAAAAAAGCAAAAAAATCACAACTTTTTTTTTTTGCAACAAAAAAATAAAACTGCTAATAACTTGCATTGCTTTGAAAAAAAAAGATGAACAACTTAATTTTTTTACCGTAAGTTGCATACCCATAAGGTGTGTCCCTTTGTACCTAGATGCTCAAGATATGAAGAACTTTTCAGTTATATTGCCATGCTTGAAAGCCTAATGTTCTCCCTGAAATTGTCGACGTTTGGATACCAAAATTATTCCAAATAATATTTCGTTTGCATCACAAACATATTTCCCAACCTACTTTTTTATATTTCCAAACATCTTTTTATCTCACATACATCATATCACAAAAAGTGCTACAGTAATTATTTCAAATAATACACTATCCAAACAAATTAACATGGAACATCCTAAATGCCAGCATCTCGTTGTTCATTCTTGCTCTGAAAGATTTAACTATCCTGAAAGATTTGGCTAGTTTTGTCGTTTGCTGGAGAGAATCTTAGATCTTCTTTAATCTTGCGGAAGCTGAACATGAATTTAATTTGAGTTTTGCAAGAATCAAACTACTTAAGAGTGCTTGACCTGGAAAATATGAATATATTGTATTTACCAGAAGAAATTGGTGAACTTAGTCTTCTAAGGTATCTTTGTTTAAGATCAAAAGGCATCCACTCTCTCTATCTAGGTTGCTTCCAAAATCTACAAATGCTTGACATGTACATTTTCGACTTAGTGGAGGTCCCCAATATGCTATGGAACGTTAAAAATCTCGGCATTTATTTATTCGTGCATCAAATTATAAAAGTTTACCACTGAAGTTTGATGCTCCGAAGAATCTCCAAACTCTGTGTAATGTGCATTTAAATACTCTGATTGATAACAAACTAGCGCCGCCAATTAGCTAGCATTAGGAAATTGGGTGCACGGAAGGTCAAGAATTGATGGAACTTTTTAGTTCAATTGCTAACTAAGCTTGAGAACCTAATTGTCTCCCCTGGTATTATTGATGGATGAAGAAGAGGGGTTTCCATCTTTCATTGGCCATTCCCATCTCCTCAATTATGTCAAACGTTTAAAGTTGTCTGGCAGGTTGACTGACTGACCTGGCGCTCATAATTTCCCCCCAAGACTCTTATCATTCGACGCTGCTTGCCACAGAACTTGCAGAAAACCCCATGCCAACACTGGAGAAGTTAGGAACACCTTTCCACTCTGAAACTAAAATAATGCCAATGCAGGAAAAGAACTAGTAATTTCAGAAAACCAGTGTCACAACCTCACATTCCTTCAGCTTGACGAGCTGCCTGCCTAATTTGATAGAGATCAAAATCAGAAAAGGAGCAATGCCGCAGGTCGGGCTCTTGCGGATCAGCAAGTGCTAGTCTTTGGAAATGCTTCCTGAAGAGTTGGAAGTTCATGAAAGCTCTTGAAAAGCTAGAGGTTGTTGACATGCCAAAAGAATCCTTCATTAGGATTCAAGGAATAGATTCGTACAAGGTCAGTCATGTCTCAAACATTATCCTGACCGGCATTCTTGAACCTCAAATGTTGCTTATAGCTTGAAGATTCGGCGGGATGTAAATTGAAGCAGGTTTGGGAACTTTATAGCTGCACTTTTCAAACGAACTACAACTGAATTTCATTTCTTTAGAGCTCAATTGCGTTTTTTGTATTCTTCAGCGGCCTGGATTCAAAATTTCTAATTCCAAGTTAACTTCACATTTTTTTTTCAATTAAAATTCAACGCATATGTAGATACATAATCTCTGTTTGTTTTTTATTATTTCTGCTACTAGTTAATTTGTTCAAGTTCTACTATTAGTTAATTTATTTTCCCAATTAAAAATCAACGCATATGTAGATACATAATCTTTGTTTGTTTGATTACTATTACATAATCTCTATTTGTTTGATTACTTCAATTTTAAAACACTTAAAAATATCACAAGAATCAGATTTATTTTTCAAAAAAAAAAAAACCTAAAGTTTTCCTGCTAAAATCTTCAAATCAGTCTTAATGTGGGCCTCCTCCCCTCCCTACAAAGGATCTAAGAGATTTCGACAAGACCACTTAGAGAAGTAATCTGAACAATCAATTTGGGAGAAAAACGTTTTTCCAAACTGATTGCATTATTAGATTATTCAACAAGTCAGCTTACAGATTGCTTGACTCTCATATTTTTCCTCTATTTTGCTTGTAATAAGTCATAAGTCAAATAATGTAATCATTCTTCAATTATTCAACTTTTTCTTAATTGCCTAATCAGATCAGATATTTGCATTTTTCTTCAAAATTAGGTTGTCTTTCACACAAAAGTCAACCTTTTGATGAATTATCAATTGTATTTCATCTGTTTATAACCATTAGATTGAAAGACAAAGTAATAGCATAGTTTAGCTTTCATATATAGATTATCTTTTTAGATGAAATTATTATCAACAAACTAACTTGAATAGTACAGTATGCTATCAACTTTTATTGTGCTTCATTTCCTTCTTGTTTTATTTCCTTCTCGTTCTCAGATAGCAGAGAGAGTTTCCTTCACTTTCTTGTTTTCTCAGGTTTGGTAATACAATTTTTATTACTTTTTACTTTAGCAAATATATGAATTTATTTCTTGCTATAGTAACATATATTTTCTTTTACATGTTTTGTGTTTTCCTTTTGCAGCATTACTTTCAGTACTCAAATTTTTGTTTTTCCTTTCACTTTACTCCAAGTTAGTAACTTCACTTATAATTAGCATGCTTAATGTTTGATAAAATGGTGGTTAAGTTTCATTGATATTCAAAAGTTTCATGAGTACACTATTACTACCTGCTTAGTATTGAATTATTTACACTGTGTAACTTATGATTGAAAACTCTGGCAATGAACGTTGAAACTGTTGAAATAAATATAAATTCAAATAATAATAATAATAATAATAATAATAACAAC